CCCGATGCGGGACTCGATCCCGGGACTCCAGGATCATGACCTGAGCCGAAGGCAGTCGCTTAACCAACTGAGCCACCCAGGCGCCCCTGTTTTTGGTTTTTTTTAAGATTGATTTATTTTAGAGAGGGTGAGGGAGTGAGCGGTGGGGAGGGGCAGAGGGAGAATCTCAAGCAGACTCCTCACTGAGCTCGGAGCCCGACATGGGGCTCCATCTCACGACCCTGAGATCATGACCTGAGCCGAAATCAGGAGTTGGATGCTCAACCAACAGCCATCCAGGTGCCCCGTAAGTGGAGCTTTTTATCCAACCCTGTCAAACGGGTGAATTTTATCTGTTAGCTTTCAGGACTACCTTCTTTGTGACTCCTGTCCCTATTTGAATCCAAAACCCAAATGCAAGTCCTAAAGTGCCGGCTCTGAGAGTTTCAACTTGTCCGTGCCTCATTTTATTACCTGTGTGGTACATCCTCCAGTGCCCTCATTCCCTCTGACCTCCTGCATGTGTTTTCCAGTACAATTGTTTCAGGGGGTTTGGGAGTGTGTTTAGAAGGGGCAGGGATTTAAAGTGTGACTAGATGACCTGGATTCCACATAAAAATGGGAAAGGAGTGTAGGACAGATGCGTTGTGAAGTATTTCTCCACGGTATTTGTTGTCTCATCCTAATCAAGCTGAAATGCTTAATATTTTGGGATTCCAAACTGGCAGTAAATTACATCTCTAGAGTAAAACATTAAGGTAATTACAGTTAACTGGGCTACTACTACCATGCTCGTTTCTAAAGGATACTAAGGCTGTGAGAGGTTAAGTAACTTGACTAATGAATGCATGGCTATAAGGAAAATGGGCATATCTAAATCCTTTGAAAAATTTGTTTTCCTCCGGCCCAGTTCGATGATAACCACCTCCCCCTCAGTTGTGCACATGTGTAAATGCGCCATTTGTTTCTTCTCTGGCTGGGGTTCTTCCCCTATATATGTGGCTGCTTGAGAACTGTTTTCTGAAAGCAGTAAAGAATTTTGGGGAGGGGCGCCTGGGTGGCTCAGTCGTTAAGCGTCTGCCTTCGGCTCAGGTCATGATCCCGGGGTCCTGGGATCGAGCCCCACATCGGGCTCCCTGTTCAGCGGGAAGCCTGCTTCTCCCTCTCCCACTCCCCCTGCTTGTGTTCCCTCTCTCGCTGTGCCTCTTTGTCAAATAAAAAATTAAAAAAAAAAAAACTGGGGGGACATAGGAAAGGATGCTGAACACCACTGGTCATTAAGGAAGTACAAATCAAAACCACAAGGGGAAACCACTCACTAAAATATAAAAAGACAGGTGTTGGCAAGGATATGGAGAACTTACAGCCCTCATGCAAGGTTGGCAAAATGGTGCAACCACTTTAGATCACAGTCTGGCAGTTCGTCAAAAGGTTAACATGGGGGCGCCTGGGTGGCTCAGTTGGTTAAGCGACTGCCTTCGGCTCAGGTCATGATCCTGGAGTCCCGGGATCGAGTCCCACATCGGGCTC